GCATGAGTAGGAGTTTGGTATATAATAGTTACCCAAGTTAATAGTAGTATTCATTTAATAGGTAGTAATTACAAAGTTGGAATTTGGCTAAGATGTTCCGAATAGCATTCTTACTTTTAGGTAGTGAAAACGAGTTCTTTTGTGATAACAGATAATCATAGTGTTGAGATTAGTCTTACTAAGAATAGGTCTAGATACACTGTTAGTGAGATGGTGCTTTCATAGCCTCTTCCTGCAGCACTGGTTCAGGTCTGACTCAGAGAGCTAATAAATCATAGCGCCGCTCCCCACATTGCGCGAGTTTCCCCTGAAGGTCTTCTCTGATTACTTGCTAGCCTGACTCTGCTTCAGTTATAAAATCTGACAAAAATCACAGTTTAGGATCTGCTCCAGGCTAGGCATAAAAACATCTCTTTTCATCTACTATATCTAACTACTACTGCCGAGACATCCTTCTTGATAGCCTATTTTAATCAGAGTACGGAAATTCTCTTTGAAGAAAGTCACTATGGTGACTGTTTTTTCTCCCCAAGCCGGAGTTTTCGGTGTCTTCAGTCTCCATAACTTCATTCGATACTATTAGTTTTGTTCCTTTTTGTCCAGTGCCAGGTATAGTCAGTAAGAATCCATAAAAAATCATCTACTCTCCATTTCCTCTTACTCCTCTGTACTCCAGAGCTTTATATCAAGGTCGTGGGCAGAATGCTCCACTGTAGAGAAAACACAGAGGAAATACTGAAAGACAAGGCACGCGTTGTAGGAGAGGTGAGAAGGCAATGATGGAGCAGGAACTGCAGCCAGACTGATTAAAGGGAAAACATGACGGGGAAGAGAGGAGAGACGGGGAAAATTCTGGAGAAATAAGAGGATACATGTTAAACATGGCTAAAGGGAGAAGTGGCTAAATTCATAATTTGAATAGAAAAATTAAAAATACTGTTCTTCAAAGAGGGTTATTGAGTAGGTTATGTCCTTGGAACTCACTTTGGAAGAAGAGATTAAGATGGAATAGACCGTCAGTAGCATGTAAATGACACTTTGGAAGGCTCAGACTACTCTCCATATGTCTGAAGAGCCACTTTAACCTTATTGACATTGTTTGTTTACTTAGCACTTTTTTCTTTATAGGGAAGGTAAATCTCAGCTCAGCATCTTTTGATTGATTGCAAATGGCAAGTCAGCCACAATTTTATTGATGAGACTTTAACATATTGCCTTAGTTAAATGTTGATGAGATGGAAGAAAGAATACATATGCATCAAGTATGTTGCCTTCAGTATTCTCTTAGTTGGAGATTAGAGAAATATTCAGAATTTTTTGGAGGTTTTAACAATGTGTGTAAGAGAATTTAAAAGCAACAACAACCCACCTAAATTTACCTCAGAATGAAGATGGGAAATAAAATTCAAAGTCCTACATAGATATTTAAAGGTTTTTTTCTTTTATCCTCACTCGAGGACATTTTTTTGTTTTGTTTTTTTGTTCAGATAGAGTGGGAGGGAGAGAGAGGAAGAGAGAGAGAGAGAAACATTGACGTGAAAGGGACACATCGAGTGGTCGCCACCCGCACAACCCAACCAGGGCTGGGGACAAACTGCAACCGAGGTACGTGCCCTCAGCGGGAACCGAAGCCGGGTCTCTCTGGACCGCAGGCCGACGTGCCAACCGCTGAGCCAAATCGGCCAGGGCTTACATAGATATTTAGACATGTCTCTTAGTTTTGACTGGCAATCTTCAGCACACCCCAAGTTTACCCAAGACAATGAAAAGGGAAAGAATAAGTCAGTGGTCATTCTTGAAAAATGATTGTCCAATACGAGAATGGTGGACAGAGAGGTTTAGAAGTTGAGATTATAATGAATGTACTGAAGAAAATAAGCAATTGAGAGAGATATCAATAGAACTTTGAGATCTTAGAGGTTGAGGAGTTTTAATTATTGGATTTGAGGGGTTTCCTTAGTGGATAAAACCTAAAATTCTTAATGTCCAAGTTTTTAAATCAGAATCGTGACATGAATGATAGCTGTTCTTCTTTGCTTTCAAATCCTTCTGATTTTTAAAAAATACCTTGTGTAAATTGAACAGTAATAAGTTAAGGAAATTAGCCAGTGGTGTAGAGGGATGGTTGGACCCAAAGCTAAAGAACATGGTTCTTGGACTTCAGTTTTTTTATGTATAAAATAAAGAGTACAGGATCTCCTAGATTCCTTCACCTCTGAAACACTGATTCTGTAAACAAGGCATTTTGACAGGCAGCAGTGGAAGGTTCATGGCCTTGTTCTGCTCTCTCCCTTGATTAAACTTCCCTGAATCCAACTAGTGACACTACCCTTTTTTCTTATTCCATTAGTTTTCAAACTGTGTTTCTTGGAATACTTTGGTTCTAATGTACCTCAGGTATCACTGTGAGGGGAAGATTCTGCTCCTGTTCCCCCTTCTGTTTTATATATGTACAATCTTTAAAAATTTTCTCTTTCAATATGCTATTTTCCATATCATAAAAACAGTGACTGTAAGAAAATATCCTTGTTAAAGAGCCACCTTTGCAAGAGTTAGCTCCTAGGCCTACACATGGAGACGTCTAAAAAGTGCAGACTCTCGGGCCCCACTCCAGACCTACTAATCAGAATCTGCTTTTTAACGAGAGGATTTTGCACATGGAAGTTTGAGAAGCCCTGAAGCAGTCCAGGCATTATCCAGCTTCCTGGGCTCTTTCTCTCCCAGTAAAGAACACATGTTGAATGAATTGTGTTCTTAGGAGGGTTTTGTTTAATCCTGACCTTTCTTAGGAAGGGTAGAGGAAAGGGTACTTGAAGCTTATACCTAACTCGTTTCTACGTGAGTCTTTCACAACAGTGTACTCTTAAGTTTGTAGTATTATGATCTTCTCTAATATTTGATTTATATAACACTATTTTCTTAGTCTTCAATCTAGCACCTTCTCTTATTTCCTTCTTATACTATCACATCCGTATTAAAGATCAGCTTCTGGAAAATAGAGCTGAGTTGCTAAATATGTGTTAAACACCCTTTGAACTACCACTTCCCGTTCCTATTCTCTCTGCCTCTGTGTCCCCTCATTTTTGCCTGGAATACTGGAACTTATTTTTACAGAACCAAAGGCTTATGTGAAATAATTTACCGTTAAGTGGCAGTTTGAATGACTTTTAATATTCAACATACAACATTTTTTAAGGATTCAGTTTCTGCGTTATCTAATTTTTTATTGTCTGTTTCTTTCTCGTTTGCTGTTTATTTTCATTCTGTTTGGTGCCTTAGTTGAAGAACAAATAGGAAAGAACATGAAAACCTAAAATCACACATTATTTGGCTCTTTGTTTTGGTGGGGGGAAATTGAAAATATCTTCTAAAATATTTTCTAATGCAACATAATTTTATCTACATTCAATTTTCAGATTTTAAGGGAATATGAGTGTGTGTATGAGGAAGATAATAAGATAGGGTTCATTTTATTTTCTAAAAACTCCATTATTTCTCTACAATATGCATTATTAATGCTTCCTCTAAAAAATAAAATTTACTTCCAGAACCTTCCATTTTTCTCTAGTTCACATTCTCTGACATATGGCCACTTTTGCACTTTTTCCCTACTCTGCCCTACCAATGTCATTAACCCAGCCGCAGCCGTCATCATTCATTGTTACTAACTTATTGACTAATCTGCTAAAAAGTGCGCCAGAATATCTCCATGTAACTAACTTTATTCTAACACGTAGATGAAAGACTGATAAATTATCAAAAGTGCCTATTGACAGTCCTATGCTTTAGAGGCTGAAGTCCTAGTTTGTAGATGTTTTCAATTCAGTCTAAGGTGGTGAACCCCCACCCCTCACCTCATCCCTACCTCCTACTTTATTCCCACTCCTACTCTCATCCCATTGTGTCTGGTCTCCAGAAGCGATCCGTAACCACTTGCTGCTCATCATATAGAGATTTGCTTATCAGAAGTATTTATCATTTCCCTGAGAAATTGTGTATCACTACTTTGTAGCTGGTGATACTTAAGTTTATCAAGTTCTATATTAAACAGTTCATAAAATTTTAAAAGTATATTTATACTTAAAGAATTTTTTATACTAATCTTTTGTATACTTTTAATTGTAATGAATTAAAGTACTAATATTTAGATTTTTAAAAAATTGTATTTTACCTGTATCACATCTCTAATTTTATCTTTTTTTATCAACAAACTTATGATATCTACTCTTAACCCCCCCTTTTTTTTTTTTTAGTTTTATTTTTTTAATCCTCACCTGAAGACATCTTTCCATTTTTTTGTTCAGATAGAGTGGGAGGGAGAGAGAGGAACAGAGAGAGAGAGGAACATCGACAGGAAAGGGACACATCGAGTGGCTGCCACCCACACGACCAACCAGGGCTGGGGACAAACTGTAACCGAGGTACATGCCCTCAGCAGGAACTGAACCCAGGTCTCTCGGGACCGCAGGCTGATGCTCTAACTGCTGAGCCAAACCGGCCAGGGCTCTACTCTTAACTCTTTAAAGTCTTCTGATAATCATTATGTTTCCTTTGATCATTTTGATTTAGCAGTTAATTTTTTTAATTTGTTGAATTGTTAATAAAAATAAATTTTTAGGAATAACAGGTCTCTGAGAAGAAACTCAATTTGCATAGTCTCTTCCTATAATGTAGTGCTGCCTGCTTCATCATTGTGCTGGTACCCACCCTCCCCTCAGCCTGTGTGAATGTATGCGCTGTGTAGCATTGTAAATAATTGCATTGTGCCATTTGGTTTTCAGGGTCCTCTTTCACTCTTTTCTGACTGTGGTGATCGCTCTCCCTCAGTGAATTAGTAGTTAGATCACACTATACTTCCCTTAGAAACCTGTGTTTTAGGCTCTGCAATTGTCAAACTGGTATGATTGGTTTTAAATGCCTACATGGAAAGTGTTTTGCTATCATTAAATTTCATTTTCTTTAAAGTGTACTTAAGTAATGAGTGTGTTCTCCTGTTTCAGGTGCGCTTTGTGAAGAATATTACTTCCTGGAAAGAGATGAAACCAGGATTTTATCATGGACACATTTCTTACTTGGACTTTGCAAAGTAAGTTATACCTAAAATGACACACTAAAGAATGATTTGTCTTTAGCAACCTAAAAAGGAATACATTCATTAAATTGTTAAGATTTTGATTTTTTTTAAAAAGTACTGCTTTGCCTTTGCCACTTTTAGTTATGTAATTTAAATATACCTTTTAGTGTTTTACTGCCCTCTAGTGTTCATAAATTGATAATTTTGATAGTAATTTTAGAATTCTAGGTAGATTAAATTTCGTTTTTTTAAATAGTTATTTATCATCATTACATTTATTTTTCTTGTACAACCAAATTACACTATTTTAGGAGAGCCCCAAGTTTTAGCTTAGGGGCCAGAGTATGACTTAACATGTCATTGAGAGCTGAGAAAGCAAAGAAGTCACCCCTGAGTTATTGGTGCCCCAGTGTTTCTGCTCCTCATCCAAGACACAGTCAAGTATACACGTTCTCTTGGGCTGCCTCGCTTTAGTTTTAACATTGAGATGTATTCAAAGGAGACTTTTTAAAATATAGTGATTTTCCTTTATAGTTATTTGCCTGAAACTACAGATAAATAACACTCATTTCCCATATTTTGGGGGAGTAATTGGATTAGTGAATTTCTGTCATAGTGTTCTCAAGAAAAGTTTGTAAAACTACAGGCCTACTTATAGCATCCAAGAACTATGTGGTTCCCTGTAGAGTTTGTGCTGTGGTAAGTACTAATCAGAAAACTGGTCAAAAGGAATATTCTAAACATAGGCAGCTTGTGAATCCACTTAAATGTTTTTGTAGCACATAGAGTACCATTATAGTAACCCCAAATCCAAGTATTTTCCCTAATAAGATTTTATACCAACTTCAAAAACATTTAAGATATATTTTAAAAATTATTTAAGCTTAGACATGTTCACTCAGTCTTTTCATTAGCAGTCATGACTTCAAAGTAATACATTTGTCAACTTTAAAGAGCATTCTGTGTAAAATTTGAAAATTAAATTGATACCCCACTATCAATTTAAGTTCCTAAATTTGAAAAGAAAAAGTTGAATGAAATACTATTGATTCAGATTCATAATAAATCTTAACTTTTTTGAAAAGCATGTAAATAAAAAGGAATCTCCCAAATATTACATATACAAAACAATATATCCTTATTTCTACTTGTTTTCACAGTATTCAAGATCTTCAATAAAATGGTTGCTTTAAAGTTATGTGTGCATTTTTCTTTCTATTTTATTGAATTTATTGGGGTGACACTGCTTAACAAAAGTATACGGGTTTCAGGTGCACAATTCAACAACTCATCATTTGTACACTGTTTTGTGTGTTCACGATCCCAAGTCCAGTCTCCATCCATCACCATTTATCCCCTCTGTACCTTCCTCTACCTCTCCCCACCCCGTAGATGTGAATTTTTCTATAAATAATTCATACTGCAATATTGAAAACATTTTATAGGCAGCTTTAAAATAAACTAATTATTTTTTCTTTGCAGAGGCATTGAACCAATTTCGTAAACTTCATTCATATGCATATTTCCCTCAGGGCTGCATTATCCTTCAATTGAATGTTTGTTACCCTTTCACCTAAATGATTTATTTTTTTCCACACAGAGCTTGGTTTCTCATACTTGAGGTTTTCATTATTAAAATAATATATTGAATACTTTTGCTTTTGGCAAAAGTCTTGTACACAGAATGAAGCTCTGGTATATGCTGGAGTTCTTGCAGTTGAAAAAGTATAAAGCTTCTTGAAAAAATTAATCTGGTTTATTAAATACAAACATGAATGTTTAAGAGTTGAAATATTTTTATAATAGGTTTCACGTTATTGAAGTGAAAAGGATTGTGAGAATTTTTAATAGACTTTTACAAGATTTTAAACAAATACCTAAAAAAATGAACTAGAGGAAATATATTTTGATATATGTAGTCAAGAATTATTATAGATATAACTAGTGTATTTTTAAAGAAATTTTTAGTTTGATAGTCATACGTACCATGAATGAGTAAAGAAAGAGAAAGAAATGTCATCTTACCAATTTTTCAAATACTTTTTTCTTCAAAACATATTCTTTACTGGGATAGTAACTTTGGTAATCTATTAAAATACTTGCCTTCAGGAGAAAATGGACACATTTGGTGAAAGAAATATTTAATCACATAGCTTTCAATTACCTTAGAGATACAAAAAGAGTGGAAACCCAGGAAATAAGATAGAGAAATAAAAAATGAGAAGTGCTTCCTCATTTAGACTGATTACTAAGAAGCACACATTTTATTTGCAGGCTTATTTCTGCTCAAGCAAGTTTTGGTTATATTTATGTGGTTTTATTCAGAACTTTCAAATAATAACAAAAATATCTTCTTGTTACACATTTGTATTCCTTTCCTGACTACTACTTTTTGTCCTAATTCTGTTCTTTAAAAAACATTTTTTTAAAATTTATTGATTTTTAAAGAGAGAGGAAGGTGGGGGGAGAGAGACAGAAGCATTGATTTGTTGTTCCACTTATTTATGCGTTCATTGGTTGCTCTTTGAATGTATCCTGACTGAGGACAAACCCATAACCTTGGCTTATAGGGAACAGTGCTCTAACCAACTGAGCTACCCGGCCAGGGTTTTTAATCCTTTTTTAAAATCCTTCCCTGAGGACACATTTTTATTGATTTCAGAGAAAGAGTAAGTGAACAGGAGAGAGAGAGAAATATTGATTTGAGAGAGAAATATCAATCAGTTGCCTCCTATACACACTCCTGATTGGAGATTGAACCTGCAGCCTGGGTATGTGCCCTGACCAGAATCTAACCTGCAGCCTTCAGTGCCTAGAAGGATGTTCAACCAACTGAGCCACGCCAGCCATGGCTTAATCTCATTCTTGATATTTTTAAAGTACATTTTCTAGTTCTTCTTTTCCATTTTTTCCTTTCATGTTCAATGACTTATTTTGTTATCCTTTTAATTGGTAGACAACAATTTAAAAATAATGTAAATATGATAAATTAATGTCATAAATTTATAGTTTTTTTCAGTTAAAACATTGTATAGGTTGGACATTTTCCAAAGGTCATAGGGTGGTGTTCTTATCCTCTTAAGTGGGTTGCAGTTCTTATCCTCAAAGAGTTCACTGAAACCTCATTTTTTTTTTTTTTTTGTAATTATCAGTTCATTATGTTTCTTTCTTTATAAAGACTGAAAATATTAAAGATTGCCCTCCCTTTTAAATTCATACTATTCATTGATCAGCAGCTTCTGTTAACCCCACTTTGATTTTCTTCAAATGTTATAAGAGGAAGACATTAGAACATCTCTTTCAAAAACCTTTTCAGTAACATTTTTCTTTATAATGAATGTTCAGCTAAAAGAAAACTGTTTTCATACTGGTTTTGATCAGACTATGTAGTGATTTTTTATGATCTAGTGACCTAGGGGTCACATGTCAGCATCTGTTTTAGAAAGACACTTGGAAATTATTTTGGTATAGCGTCAGTTTTATTCAAGTATACGTCAGGTACGTACCTTTGTAGTTGTCGCCAGGAATGAGGATGGGTTTTCATCGCTGTCATTTTGGTTAGTCCATATCACCCTTACTGTCTTTTTCAGGACAGTTGCAGTGAATCAGTAAAAAAGCTTATATATCAGGGTAAAAAATGAATAACTAAATGCTTCACTAGGTCTGAAATATCCTAGAGAGTAGTCAAGTGACAATGTTTTAGGCCTGAGAAGAGTTTATTAGTATATAGATTAATGTGAGATTGTCTCTCTTCCTTCTCTGCTGAACCAGTTGAAGTTTGCTCCATTTTGTACAACTTTCAACAATTATGTCACAGCACTAGAGAAACATTTAAACAATAATTTTAATCATTACAGGTACTATGTGAGAGTTGCATTTTTATTGACCTTGTACTACCAGTTCTTTGTACAGCGGTGATGATCTAGGTTGTCAGGAGCCATCTGTGAAGTCAGATTTACAGTTACATCCACGCCGTCCCTTACCAGCTCTGTGGTCTCGGTCATGTGACCTCGGTCTTTCGTTTCCCCATTTGTAAAATGAGGATAATTGATGTAACTGCTTCATGGGTGGTTGTGAAGATTAAATACCACAATGTATGCGAAGCACCTAGCTCTGTCTCTCTCACAGATCAGTGTTTTGTTCTTTTAAAATTCTGTTTTTCAGTTACCATGTTATCTTCCTAGTGTTTCTGTCTCCTCCCTGTTTGAATCTGCTGGCTCTTCATATTTCAAACTCGTAATAAAGCATTATTCAAGACTTTATCTTTACTTCCATTATTACCCATTTTTATTTATGAAGACATCCAAGTAGAAACTTTAGAGTCATCTTGAACAACCCTTTTTAGAGTCATCTTGAACAACCCTTTTCCCCACCACATATATCTGATCAGTCACCAAGTCTTCTGAGTCAGACTTCTGTCACTTGCATAATGCCTTTGACATGTATCCAATCAGATGCATGTGTCGGTAGTTAGTTTGTTACTGGGGAGTATTCCATTCTGTGGACACACCACAATTTCTACCATTCAGCAGTTGCTGGATACTTGGGTTATTTCCAGTTTTTGGTGATTATTAGTAAAGCTGCCAAAACATTTGCATACAGGTTTTGTGTGGACATCTATGTCCTCATCTCTCTTTGATAAAACGTACAAGTGGGATTGCTAGAGTGTGTGGTAACTCTGTAAGACATTGCCAAACTGTTCTCCCAGGTGGCTGTATTATTTTGCAATGTCACCAACAAACAGTACATGAGAGTTGCACTTGCTGTGTGTCCTTGCCAGCATATGGTGTTGTTAGACCTTTTCTTTTTTAAATTGGAGCCATTCTAATGGATGTATAGTAGATGGATGCCCATTTTAAGAGATAAATACTTTAAAAAATTACTGATTTACAACATTATCATAAGTGGGACCAACATATACCAACAAGTCATTTGCTATTTTTTGTTGTTGTTCTTAAAATTTTTTATTTATTGATTTGAGAGAAACATCGATTTGTTGTTCCACTTGTTTATGCATTTTACTGGTTGATTCTTGTATGTGCCCTGACCCGGGATTGAACCTGCAACCTTGGCCTATCAGTGTGACGCTCTAACTAACAGAGCTATCTGGCCCGGGCTGTCATCCACTATTTTTGAAGCAAGACAATGGGACTTGCCAATAGAAGGATTTGGAACTTTCTATGAACCTTTTTGGTCTCAGAGAGTCCAAAATAAATTTGTATACGATATCCATGTTGTCAGTGAGACTGCTGTTTAACTAGAGATGTTAAAACTAGCATAAAGCAGATATCTCAAAGCATAATGCTTCCCAAAGGCTATTCAGCCCTCTTTCAGCTTTATGGTCTTCCATTTAGGTTTGTCTAGCCAGCTGACAAGGTTCCCTTCAGATGTTCTGAGAGTGCTTGTTCTTTTAACCATTCTTGATGCTCATTCATCCCTCTGAGCTACATAGGACTGTGGTTGTAAAGAAATGAGCCGAGTTTGTGCTCCTAGCTTTGTCATACCACGTACACTGACACGGTAAGAATAAGGTTCCTAAAATGTCTGTTTACCAACCTGCTGCTCACATTATACTTTCCCCCTTTTGATTCTTGTATAACATCACAGATTCCTACCAAACATGCTCTACTGTTCCCAGGCAGATCATGTTCTAACATGTCAATAATAGTTTATTTTTCCTGGGGTGAAGATGGTTTCCTTCTCTTTCACCTGAGCCCTTCTGAGGAGCAGCTCAGATGCCTGACCAGGGTTAAACGTGGGGTCTGTGGCCACAGCACATATTTTCCCCCTGTACAAAACTACCTGGGTGGCAAAAGAATTAATCCTATAGAGGATGCTTGTTTCCTAACCAGCTGAGCTGAATGGCCCAGGCCCTATTTTTATCATGCCTATGTTTGGTTATAATCTTTTGCTTCCATGTCTATATAATTATGCCCTAACTTACAAATAATAATTCATATCCATTTTCCAAGTAAGTTCACACACGTTATCTTATTAAGATCATACATATAAATGTCACCCAAAGCCATGCCCCAGAAAGTCATTTTCTCAATAGCAAGAAGAGGTTTATAAAGTGCCGTACCCCCTTTTCACTGCTACTTGGTCAGAATTGCTGTCCATTCCACGTGTCAGGAACTAGGGGAAGGGAGGAAAGAGGAAGCTTGGTAGGAGGTGGTCTTCTGGGAGAAGGTAAGGGAATGGCTCAGGGCTGCTCAGCAGCTAATAATGGAGAGGCTAAAGGCAGTTCCCAGGGAAACCCATAATTTTAAGAATGGAGTCATTGCCCCCTTATCTGGTGTTTTCTCTTTCTTGTAGATTCCTATTATAAGACTCAGCTCTCTCAGTTAAGGTAGCAATTTGGTATTCCTGATGCCTCTCTATCCTCTTCTCAGTACTGAGTGCTCTCCCACAGAAAGGCTTTTAAGTGGCTATTTCACAAGTCTATTCAACGTAATTCTACTAATATTTAACACCTGTGTGTCCAGCGCCATGCTGAACACTAGAGTTAAAGCCATGAACAAGAGGGAACAGCCCCTGACCTCCTGGAACTTCTGTTCTAATACCCAATGTGACAGTGCCATGTATCTGCAGCAGTACTATTTCCTTTTAAAAAATTGTCAAAAACGTTTTACTGCATTGTTGCATTTATAGGTTAATGAGTTGTTCAGTGGGAAAAAAGTATACCAAGTTCTGATCAATCAACTCACAACCGGTATAATAATGTTTTGCAAACGGATTCTCTATAGTTTTCAGTATTTCCATATGTACAAAGAATTTGCTGAATTAGAGCTACTTCATGATGAGAAAAGGACTAGGGTTCAGTTTTACCCACAAAGCAGTCCAACCTATTTGTAAGTCAGGATATTTGTAAGTTCAGTTAATTTTCAATAATTCACTGAAATAATCAAGTTATCTGGGCCCCTTGCTTTTTTTCTTTTGTGGTTTCTTTTTATTATTAATTTGCTTAAGACTTTAGTATAAAACATCTATAGAACACCAGCTGTGTATAAGACATTGTTTGTAATAGGCAGAAGTAAAGGGAAACTGTGAAATTAGTTTAACTGTATGCTTTTTAGTGCCGTTGGGGAAAGATTTTAGTAAGATGGGAAGTTTAAGTTATAAGCTATTATCTGAATTGAAGGTTTCAGTGGACAGATGAGTGAGCGTATCAAGAGTGGTTAAAAGAAGAAGCAACTGTCATTGTCTCTTACTCAGAGACAATGAGATATTGAGATATCTCATTGAGATATAATTGACATATAACATTAAGGTGTACAATGTGATAAATGTATATATTGTGAAATGTTTGCCACAATAAGGTTAGTTAACATATCCTTCACCTCACATGGTTACCTTTTTGTTGTTGTGAGAGCATTTAAATTTGACACTTATAGCAACTTTCAAGTATTGTAACAGTGGTGAACTGTAGCCACCCTACCGTTCTTTTGACATTGTTTCTATAAATGCCAACTCTGACTAAATGTAGCTTGTAGATAAACAGCATGTTTGTATAAGAATTCTAGGAACTAGTTTCAAAAGATACAAACTCCAATCTTCAGCCATCCTAGCTCTGGGAGATTTGCTGACCTTCAACTGTAAAACCATGATCACATAAATCTAGAATGAAGAAAACCAGGATGACATACACTAGACCATCACTTGACCAGTTTTTAGATCCTTATTGGAATGGACTGTGCTGTTCTGCACTTAGAAAAATTTTCAACTCTCTCCCTTTGATCTCTTTGTTCTTCTTTTCCTCTCCCTCCTTATAAAAACCTCTGCCTATACTAAGATGTTGAGATGCACTCTGGGATGAAAGTCCCGCATCTTACCAACTGGCCCACACTTGAATAAACCACTTTCTTTCTCACAAGCACCTGTCTTGCAAGTTTGGCTTTCACTGTGGCAGGCAGCCAAACCTGGGTTTTGGTTACAGTATATTGTATAATATTGTTAACTATAGGCATTATGTTGTATATTAGGTCCCCTATCATGACACTTCTCTACTATCTCAGTCAGGAATCCTTCCTGATTCTTATAATGGCCTACAAGACCCACATAATGTGCTCTTCCTTTACCCCACCCCATTTCTCTATTCTCATACCCTGTTAATATCCCTTCTGCTTCTGCTGCACCCAGATTGATCTTGCTTTTCCTCAGAAATGCCAGGCACTTAGCTGCATCAGGGCCTTCATATTTGGAAGTCTCTTCTTTCTGGAACACTTTCCTCCACATATCTACATGGTTCCCTTCTCATCACATAACACCAGTGATGCCTTCCTGAAAAAAACTATTTGTAATTGCCCACTCTCCGCCTCTCCTGGCAGTCCCCTTTTCCTTTCACTGCATTATTTTTCTTCCTACTACTTTTTGCCATCTGACATATTTGCTTATTTGTTTATATTCTGTCTCCCCTGGGTAGAATGTTAGCTTCAGAGGACAAGGAATTTTTTTTTTTACTGCTATCTCTATAGTATTAGAATAGTGCATGGTATATATTAGGTACACAGAAAAGCATTTTTGAGTGAATTAATATAATAGAAAAATAAGGATGGCATTCTAGTTAAGAAAGACAATGGGCAAAGACATGTAAGAAGAAATAGGAATCAATATAATAAGATACAGTAGCAGGAGGAGGTAGAAGAGGCAGGCCTAATTATAACAGATCGATGGTCTTCTATCTGAAAATAAAGTTAGATCAATACGGTGGTACCTAAGACATAAGGCAAACAAATTTTAACAGTCAGGCAGTGGAGTGTGGGTATGATGTCAACATAAACTGTAGAGTTGTTTTAGGTTTCTAAGAAGAGTGATCTAACAAATAGTGTTTTAGGAATATCAGTTGAGAATTGGTATGGAAGGTAGATTGAAAGGGAGAGAGACTGGATGTAAGAAAACCAACTAGGTTATTGCAATAATCTAAGCAGGAGACCTAGGGAGAGGGCAGTGGTAAAGGAAAAGGGAACCATCAGTGAAGGAAGGTCAGATCTGTGAGAAAGCCTGCAAAAGAAAAAATCAGGACTTAGCAACTGTACTAAAGAAGAATAAAGGAAAGTGAAGAGTCAAGATAGCACCAAAGTTTCAGGACTGGGACAATTGAGGATATTAAAATAGCCAGCTGGACAATTCTAGGTTCTGCAGAGGTTGCTAATGTAAAAGCCCTGTGTTCTTTCATCTCATTCCACGAGGAAATGATGCTGAAAACATGTCTTTCACCTCTATCTTGTCTTTAAAATCAGCAGTAGTAGAGAGCAGACTCAAATGGTCGTAATTGTGTGGACTTATGCTGTATCCATAACATTTATCTAGTTTGGTGGGCCAGAAATGAGAAATCATTGCTATATAAAATTAAAATGTTTTATGTAATTTTGTTGGTAAATTTTTAAATTATTTTTTATTTAATTTTCCCTTCTCGCCTTTATTTTCAGCCATGATTTTAAAATTCTCATTTCTTATTACTTTATTATAACATAAATAATCATAAATATTTTCTAATCTCCATATACTCTATTTTATTTAAATTAATTCATATTCTACTTTTCATGTAAAATCAGTACCTTAAATTTATAATTTCAGGACACTCCTAAATAGAGTGAAATGTCAATTTTACCTTTTAAAATTTGTTCTATTTCAGATTTGGTGTGAAAAAGAAGCCAGTTTACATTAATGTCATAAGGGATCCTATTGAGAGGCTAGTTTCTTACTATTACTTTCTGAGATTCGGAGATGATTATAGGCCAGGGTTAAGAAGACGAAAACAAGGAGACAAAAAGGTAATATTTTAAAGATTTTTGTAAAGATAATTGTTTATGAAATGCAATGAACAATGTGCTTTTAGAAATTATTACTGGTTATGCATGTGCTATTTGCTTATTGTAAAAATTTTGAAAAGAGCCCAAAAGTATAAAGAAGCAAAAGTAAAACTACTTTATAGTTGATATTTTGGAATATACATAATTTTTTGTCATTAAAAAAATATTTTACTTATGTTCCAAGGCTATTTGTTTTATTATAGTTATTATATTAACAATATTCTGTGAGACCATTATAATTATTCATTAATATGATGTATTTGTGTATGTACTCTGGTTCTCTTAGTCTTGCTGATCATCAGTTTAGGGACACTGTTTTTTGCCAAGGCAGCTTTAAAAAAGAAGAAGAAGAACAAGGAGAGAATAGTGGTTCAACAGAGTTCTTAGCAGGTTCAGTATTGTGCTGTGTCCTGTTTATGTACATCCTCCAGATGAACACCAGACTTGTTTTTCTAAAAAACCAGACTGATTTGTCAGCTTTTCTGGTGGAACATCTTTACCTGCACCTCATTGCTCACAGGACTGCCCAAGGCAAAGGAGGCACAATCTGACATAACCTGAGACCTGCCTTCTTTTCTTTAAGGCACCCAGTGCTTCAGACATGTGAAATGTCACTGTCCTCCAGTCTTATCACTTCTTATTTTCAGTACATGTGTTGTTACCTACATTTAGAATGTCTTTCCTTCACTCTGTAAAATGATTTGTCCACCTTTAAGGTCCAGCTCAAATGTTGCCTCTTCCAAGAGGTCTTTTCTGGTACCCCCAGGCATTAGTCTTGGCTCCCAGAGCATTCCATTCAGATCTTCTTTTAAGCATTTATTTTGTGATATTTGAATTATTTGTTTACATATACATCTTCTCCAAAAGGTTGTGAAACGTCCTAAAAAAAGGAGCTCTATTTCATTAATCTTTGTTTCCCCGGTATTTAGCATTGTGCCTACTTCATCTGTATGTGCTTAACAAATGGTTGAATGAGTGAATTCTGCACCTTTTATTTAGTCCTCAAGTGTTACATGATAGTGATGCTAGATATTTGATGTATTAGGACAGTTATTATCCAACGATTAATTTTTTTCCTAAGTGCCCTCAGTGTTACATGAGGAGTCAATAATTTTTGTTTTATTTGACTTCTTTATGTTTCTAGAAATTGCTCTTTCTTTCCTTAGTCTCAAAGCTTTAGGCAGAAGGTACTAATCCAAGCTCAGATAACTGACAAAAATATTACTTTTAATGTCTACTGATCTCTTAGTATTACTTAATCTCCTAAAAATATATATACTTATATTATAGAGATTCTGCAAAATTTTATAAACTCTACTAATATAACTCTTTTGTGACCCAGTACTTTAGAATGTATTGATAGTTATTTTTAAATTCATTTCAATGCTTACTACTTTTTTTTAAGCCCTATCGTTTACATTAGCTCTTACTTAGTAAATGTATCCATCCATCTCTTTCTTTCCACCAAAGGAATTTAATGTTGGTAAGGAAAAGATTTGCAGTCAGGTAGGTGCCACCATCTACCATTTGTCATTGTCAGCCCTAGATACCATGGTTTGGAGAATCATATAATAATAATAATAATTAATAATAATGTAACAATAATAATAGCTCACATTTACTGAGTACTTACTGTAAGCACTATTTTAAGTTTTATACATATATATATATATATCTTTCTTTTCATGTAGCTTGTACAAGTCTATGGGTTATCCTTTTCAGAAAATTGTGGATATTCTTCTTTAATACTACACTAAAACTCGACAAGTAGTAGTTTCTTGAAGTTGTTGAAGTGTAGAGTCTGAAGCCATAGCAGTGAACCATTATGCTCTGCTACATTAACACCAATTGATATACATTACATTTGAATGGATTTTTAACTGAGCATAATTTTGTAACATCATGCATTGGTCATTTGGATCATATTAGTTAACTGAGTTATGTGGACCTTCCAAATGTTCACACATTTTATTATACAATATCAAAAATTTACATTGATTAATATCACCACGATCTCATGCCAAAAGTTTTTAAGTATTGGGAGACAGTCAAGCTCATGGTGGCTGGTCAAGTATTCCAAAATTTTATTTTGTTTTTGCTTGAAAGCTTAACTTATATCACTGGCTAACATGGAATTTCTCAACCTTGATACTGTTGTTTTGAGCAATAATTTTTTGTGTGGGAGCTGCCTATAATTGTAGGATGTTTACCAGCATCTCTAACTCTACCCAGTAACATGTTTCCCACACACACCCTAGGTTGTGAGAACTAAAAATGTCTTCCAACGCTGCCAAATGTTACCTGACAGCCAAAACAGCTTCAGTGGCGCATCACTGGGCCAGCACTGTTCAGTGTTTTCTTTCAAGTGACAGGCAAGCATACTTTGTTTATTTTGAGAAAATGTCTACCAAATAACCCAAGTTTGAATAGCCGTAGTTTGTCCTTTCAGCATAGGCCTTCTTAATGGCTTCCGAATAGTATTAACTGTGCTGATAAATCTCATCGCACACATTTTCTAAATATATAAATATTTTCTTGTTATTTTAATTGTGTATTGCACTATAGATTATTAAACACTTTTTATTAATTATTGTTTTATTAGCAGAACATCAAAGGGGAGTGTATACTTAAGGAAAGAGTAAGTAATTATGTGCACTAAATAACAATCTAAAGATGAATTAGTTTGTGTTAAGAAGTACTCATTGGTCCCAGAGATCCCAGTTCCTACCTCAATTACCTTTTTGTATTTCTTTAAATTAACTAGGCTTATCAACAGCTATAGCAATTATAATGAATTTAAAATATACTACCTAATATATATATTAATATATATAATATAATATATATTACCTATATATTATATATATTAACCTATATATTAATTTATAAAAGATAGTAAAGTTGAAAGGAAATCATACTTAGTACTACCTGATGTTACCTTGGCCTACAGAATACTGCCTCCATAGAGCTCAGCAGTTCACAAAAGGCATTTAAGAACTTACTGTTTGCTTAGAAAGTGTTTTATATGTAAAAAAGTACAGGAAAACAATATAATATCTTTGCAGTTGACATATTTATAGGTTCGGCAACTTTTTATTGTAGACCAGTTTTCTTAATCTCAGTAAAAGGTATGTAACCCAGAATCAGTCTTGACCTGTCTTCTTCTCAGGTTTCTGGTTGGACCATAGGTGGTTTCTTTCTCTAGAAAAGAGAAAACAGAAGGAAGAGTTCGTTGTAATGGAGTTGAAGAAAGAGATGAAATTGGACATTATTTTTAGTCATGTATAAGTAGGTGGTGGTATCCACTAGAAATTGTATTTGTACCTCAAAAAATAGGTCCGAGCTAAATCATAGACCTGAGAGTCAGCAACATTAGGCAGGAGCTGAAACAAGGAAGTGAATGAAATTGCACTTTGAGACATATTTAGTATGAAAAGAGGACCCGATGGAAAAGGAAGAAGAAAAAGGTGGGCAGGGTACAGACACTTAGCTCTGGGGAATGCCAGCAGGTAAAGAGCAGCATGCCAAGGAGACTGAGGTCAGAGAGTCAGAAGACAAACCTGCCAAGTCCTTGAAATAGATAAGAAAATAATTCAGTTGCAAAGAGGTTAGTGAATTGAGGATTGAAATCTGTTCCTTCGTTTGTCAGTGGCAAGTCCATCAGGGATGTCAGAGAAAAGAGTTCACATGGAATCCAAAGGGTTGAGAAGCAAGTGAGACATACGTTAAGACTGACCCTGAGGAAAGACTCCTCTTGAAATAGAAGTTTGGCTTTGAAAGGAATGGGAAAAAAAAATCAGGAAATGTTTCTTTTTTTTTTTTAATCCTCACCCGAGGATATTTTTCCATTTTTTGTACAGATAGAGTGGGAGGGAGAGAGGGGAAGGGGGAGAGAGAGAGAAACATCGACGTGAAGGGACACATCGAGTGGCTGCCACCCACACGACCAACCAGGGCCGGGGACAAACTGCAACCGAAGTACGTGCCCTTAGCGGGAACCGAACCCGGGTCTCTCGGGACCGCAGGCCGACGCTCTAACCGCTGAGCCAAACTGGCCAGGGCAGGAAATGTTTCTTTAAGATGACAGACACTTGGGCATATTAATATATCTGAAGACAGCAAGGGGTGATCATACAAGGAACTGGAGAAAAGTTGGTGGAGCAGGGTCTCAGAAGGGGGTAAGAATAGTGTTCAAAGATAGAGAAGGAAATGTCTCTTTAAAGCTGAGGGCTCTAGGGGTACAGATGCAGATAAACTTTCATCTAAGCAGGAAGCTAAGGGAATTCACACTTAGCTTCAGTTTTCTATATAAAGCATGAAACAAAATTGTTTGCAAAATCATATATAATGTAAATATAATTGCCATTACTATCAAGCATCAAATTTTGTTTTGATCCTTTTAACTTAATTTTAGGAGTTAAATATCTAAACTAAAATCTAAATGGTCTAAAAAAATAAATGGTCTAAAATATTTTTATATTTCATGCTTTTAAAAACATTTGTGTCTAGTTCACAAAGAATTGTTCTTTCTGAAAACCATAAATGGACTTTAAGTGAGAAAGTTGATCATAACTTTTTGTTCCTTTGGTGATTTTGTGGACAAGGTAGAGTCTGGAGTGTTTTTATTTTACGTTTTGGCTTTTTAAGTACTTGGAAGTTTTATAAAAGAAAAATATTTATTTATAGAAAATTTGAGCTCTGAAATGTGACCACAATGTAAGGAGAAGGCTAATAGAAGTTAGCAAATAAGCAGGGAATTTTTGGTGACCAGGCATTTGAGTGACAGTCTTCTGTGATCTGAGTAGAGAAGCCCAGGTATTGATGTCACTGTTGGAGTCAGCGCGACCGTCCATCTTAAGATCTCAGGGCATTGATTCATCAGGTTGTATGCAGTAAAAATGGTATTGAGTTGTCCTAATTTGGTTTCTCTCATTAGGAAATACTTGGCTTACTTTATTCAAATATTTATATAGAAATGGGAGAATTTCAGTTATATGCTAAGATCTGACACACACATGTATGTTCATCAATTTTTGATTATTCATAGTTTTGTTTTGTTTTTTTCTCCACATCTTCCATGTCATCTTTGGGTTGTTTCTTTTAGCTGATAGGGGCAAAACACCTCCCCCAAATAATAAGAATGAGGTGGAAACCCAAACTATTTTTCTACTTCTGTATTGTCTAATCAATCATTTGGTAGGTGAATTAGAGTAGATGCGAAGCTTCTAAAACAAAGGAACCTGGATCTAGAAAGTCAGGAGCCTGGACTCCGAGTAAGGACTCCTTCTGCTCCTTCCTATTTCCTCTGCTCAGAAATAACAGGTGGGCCCTGGCCAGTTTGGCTCAGCGGTTGAGCATTGGCCTGCGGACCAGAGAGTCCTGGGTTCTGTTCCCGCTAGGGGCACGTACCACAAAAAAAAAGAAAGAGAGAGAGAAAGCAAGCAGATGGTATTTGTAGCTGTCTCATGGCAACAACCACAGCTCTCAAGTTGGCTCTCTGACATCTCATTATTATAGCATTTCACATAGGTGATGCCTACCGTTAAATGCCTGTGACAGACAGTAAGGGCTCAGGAAAGTGAAATTGGGTACTTTAGATACATAAGCTGTGAGTCTCTTTCCTTTTTAATTACTTCAGTCAGATGCACTTGGAGAGGAAGGCATGCAGTTCTTAAGTATTTGAGGTCATTTCTGCTTTGTACAATGATTTAGCTCATTTTAATGAGAAAGGGAAAAAGAACTTAAGTTCTTTATAGTCTTTTCAAGTGATTGTTTCACAAACGATTATAATCATACTATTATAAAGAAATGAGAGTATCCTTAGCCTTGTTTTTATTTAATTTTCATTTAGTAAGGGATTAGAAAGTACAAATACACAGATTTAACATAAGATCCAGTACTTAGTTTCAAGGACAAATTTTTATGGGGGGGGGGTTCCATTCATATAGTAAAAGAACTCACATAAGCATTGGTATAAAACAAAGACATGAGAAAAATCCTTGTTTAACTTGCCTCAGTATCAGGAATGTGTTCATAACCTGCCTATCCCTTTAATTCAGTATCTTGGTGAACGGACAGCCACTGCCACCCATTAATTTAATAACTTACCACGTTCAGATATTTGGTAGGGGAGACCTGGGTTCACGGCTCACATGTGCCGCTCTGTCTGCGTTCCAGACCTTCGACGAGTGTGTGGCAGAGGGCGGCTCGGATTGTGCCCCAGAGAAGCTCTGGCTCCAGATCCCCTTCTTCTGCGGCCACAGCTCCGAATGCTGGTAGGAGATCAAGTTAGCTTAACTGGTCGTCCTCGTTATCTGTGCTCGGTCTTCCCAAGTGTGAATGTGTCGGTCAGTGGGTAGGTATAAGGAAATGGGTGAAAGACCAGACTAAAAAAGCATGTAATTAAGTAATACTTAGTTTTGTGGTTACCTTTAAGTGCATTAAAAAGATTCTTCATGTATAAATATCCTTGCATATTTCCTCAGATGCTGGTTTTTGAATTTTTTGTTTGTTTGCAGTGTTACATGTTTGGCTTTTTTTCGGCAGAGCTCTTAAGTAGAGGTCAGGGGTCATTTCATAAACCTAATTTTCCCCTAAGCTTACTGTGATAGCCATTTATGTCAGATCAAATAGGACCTTTGTCCTAATGGGTAGTCACCTGGCTTTACTGTTAAACTGATTTTGACTTGGAGAGAAGGTTATGGTTGTGGTTTAGTCTGCTAACAAACATGAAATGGAAAATAAAGATATTTTATCTTTTATAAAGAGTTTGTTTCCTCAGAATGTGCTGAGTTTTCAATTTTAAAAAATAATGGTTTGTTTTCACTTGATATAATCAATAATTTTAATAGGAAAAGTTGAAACAACAGGAACACATTCAAAGTTAGTGTCTTTCTTAAAACCATAGTGAGATGCAAGGAATGCCTTCTGTTCTCTTCTTCATTATTTGAGATGTATCATTTGATTACTGTGAACTTTAAAGTCCTACGCAATAGATTATATCTAAGTATAATATAGCATTAGAAGAATTGGAAGCATAGGAAGAATGTCTTAGTTTTTAATCATTTCCATAGAACATGGATTGGCAAATTATAACCTGGAGACCAAGTTTGGGCCATCACCTGTTTTGATAAAGTGTTATTGGAGCACAGCCACATTCATTGGTTTACTTATTGTCTATAGCTGTTTTCATGCTGCAAGAGCTGAATTCAGTCATGTGACCAAGACCCATGTGGCCTGCAAACTTAAAGATATTTACTCTCTGTCCTTTTATAGAAAGTTTGCCAACTGGTGCCTTAGAACAATGAAGAGTATTGCTCCATTGGGCACTGTTGAGATTTTAATTGAACGTCTTTACAGATTCATAGAACTGGGAAGGACCTTAGAAATAAGCTAATTTATCTCCCCCCCCCACACACACACAAATTTTTAATGGCTGAGAAAAAGTTAGAAAGGTAAAGTCACCAGCTTAATACCATGCCAATTAAAGACAGGGCTGAACTTAGGATTAGGGAGTGTCAGTGCTAAAAAGAACCAAAAAGTATCAATTATTTAGAGCCAAATCTACTAATAGCCATTAGCTGACAGTGTAAAAAAATAAAAGGTTCCTGGCAGAGCCATTTCTTATCTTACTTCTGTTCCTCAAAAATGACAGAAAAACCTAAGCTCACAAATTAAATGAAGATAAGCACTAAACACAAATTGCTTAGACCTTGCTAGATAGCTTTTAAAATGAACAAAGTTAGTTTAGTTAAAAAAAAAAATTAAATGCACTCACACTAAATCAGATAAGAGAAATATGTTTTATATATATATAATATATATATATATATACACACACACACATTTTTTTAACTGCCCTCAAACTAAATTTTGTTAATAGTAAGCTGTTAAGCCTGAGTTAGCCCTGCATAGTTGAGCAGAAACTGGGGATAGAGGTAAAGGAAATTAAAATCAGGTGTGCCTCCCAAAAGACATTAACCAAAGAGTGTTAAGGCTTTGGATGGACATGTGTTTATCTATTTTTTCCATAAATACAGTGGCAAAGGCATAAAATATACTTAGCAGATTGAACAACCAGGTTCTTAATTTCTTTTCTTGGTTTTAGGAATGTGGGAAGCAGGTGGGCTATGGATCAAGCCAAGTATAACCTAATTAATGAGTACTTTCTGGTGGGAGTTACTGAAGAGCTTGAAGATTTTATCATGCTCTTGGAGGCAGCTTTGCCCCGGTTCTTCAGGGGTGCTACAGAACTCTACCGTACAGGTATATAAACGATGGGTTTCTTTTTAAAGCCCTCTTCAACTTTTTTCATTTGCAAATTGAGAAATATGTGTGATTTGAAGTGTCTTGAGTAAAGTACAAGAAATAACTCCAGAAAGGCAGGTAAAATGTCTGTTTCTTCCCACCATTTTCAATACAAAACAATTCCTGGCACACAGATGGTGTTTAGTAAATATTTTTTGAATGAATGAACATGTATTAGGTGATAATTAGAAGGCATTGTAGGAAAAATACAAACTACAGAACCAGTTTCAGATATGTGCAGTCTTTTATAATCCCAGATACCAGACATTATGACTATATTCTGCCCATAGACCTGCCTCATGCCGTTTAGAGTAGAGGCCGGTCGGAGGACTTGGTCACTTCACTGATGATCACCATGTGCGGATCTGTACAGTCCTGAGAGTGTGCTTCAGTCTGAAAGTGATTGCGGTGCAGTCTGGGTGGTTTTGTTTCTTTGTGCTGGTTGTTCTGCAATTCCCTGGTAAGACAGAGTCATAGGAGCTCTTTTTCTGGCATAGACGTATGCCCTAATGTCTAACATATAATTATATGGAGTTTAGGTAATGAGAAATTAGTGCGAAGGTTGAAAGTAGATATTTGATCATATTTTCAAAAGTGAACGAGTCAGAACACCTGAGTTACAGCGTGCGCTGTGCCGGCCCACACTTCACTGATTGGCAGTCCTTACTTTAACTGTTTGACAGCTCATTAAGTCTTTAACAAGTTAAGGAGTAAATCACGGTTTCAGTATGATTAGGGCACTGGTTTTTTTGTTTTTGTCTAAAACAGTTGTTACTTGTCCTTCGCTCTTAACTTAAACCATCTCTTCGAATGAAGAGGCAGTGATCTTCTGTGTGTTCTCAGAATTATTTACCTTTTCTTTTTTTCCTCTGTAAGTAGGAAAGAAATCTCATCTTAGGAAAACCACGGAGAAGAAACTCCCCACTAAACAAACCATTGCTAAACTGCAGCAATCTGACATTTGGAAAATGGAGAATGAGTTCTATGAATTCGCACTAGAGCAGTTCCAATTCATCAGAGCCCACGCGGTACGAGAAAAAGACGGAGACCTCTACATCCTCACACAAAACTTTTTCTATGAAAAGATTTACCCTAAGTCGAACTGAGTACAAGGTGTGATGATTCGATTTTTGAACTAGAACTTTGACCCTGGACCCTGTCTTCACCTTAGTTCTCAGGTCCACAATTCTTATTGAGCCGAGTTAGGAAACAGACAATGACGTCAAGGAAGTAGATGCCGGCTGGTATGTCAGTGGTCTAAGAAGTTTTAAGTTTCCGTCTTTTTTTTTTTTTTTCTGGTTAGATTTTGGTGGGAGTTATAACCTCCTGCCTGGGAAAAACCTACATATCACCTAAAATACATACATAGCAGTTCTAATCAAAAGGCTAAATACAATTTCAGAGAAAGTGCTGATACTCTGTTTTTTGATAAAGCATTTTTTTCAACTCACCGGGAGTGAAGACGAATCGTGTACACCTCCGCCTTGGCCCCGGGCTCGGGCTGCACGGCTCTACTGAGCGGCCGTGCTGTTTGGCAGCGTGCGCTTTGTTCTCGTGAATCAAGTCTCATGAAATTGATTGGAATGTTCGATCATGTTTGCTAAGAAATGTCTGCTGTAGTTGGAATTGCCCATATTTATCTAGGTCATGTTGATTTCCTTTACAAAATAACTGTCATTAGTGTTTGAAAAAAATTTAAACTATTACTAATACTGTAAAAAGAGTCAAAGCAGTATTTCTCATTCCTGTCTCCCCAGTATCTAAGATTGTGGAGACACTGCAAAGAATGTTATTTTAGTTAAGACTTCCACGTGTTAATATCAAAAAAGTAAGTTTAGTATTTTTAATATTTGTTTCTCTGTGGGTTATTTGTAAAGCTGTAATCGGATACCTGTGACTCCATATTATAACTCCATTAGTGAGCTGTGGTATGGGTAGGATGTTCCTACTACTTCTGTACTTTTACTTGTAGATTATTTTTACTAAGGTGCTTTATAATGTGTTTTAAAGCATTACATTTACAAAAAAAAAAAAAAAAGGAAAATGCTGTAAATATTGCATATTTTATGTATTTGGACCAAAAGGTTATAAGTAATTAGACAAAAGTGGTTTTGCACCAATTTTATTATGTCAAGTAAAACCATCAGACCTACTGTTCTTGTATTTCTCATTTAACTTTAAGATATCACTGAAATTAACTTCAAGAACCTTTCGATTTTGATACACAGTACATTGTTCATAATTGGGGGCAGTAGTTATAGTGGAAAGAGTACTGGATAAGGAGTCAGAAAACTTGATTTCTGGTCCTGGCTCTGCCACCTATCAGCTGTGTGATCTTGGGTAAGTCACTTAACCTCTCTTTGCCTCAATTTCCTCATCCGAGGATGAGGGTAATAATACCTGCTGTACCTACCTCGCAGGGGTGTTGTGAGGATTAAATGAGATGGCCTGTGAAAGCACTTTGAAAATCGTGAAGCGCTCGCTATATGAATGTAAGGTATTATGGAAACACCTTTAACATAGTTTCGTACCATTCATTTTTTGAAAAAAGAAAGGGAAAGTCCACTTACAAGCTATTTGAAAAAGATTTAATCTTGATATAAATTTGTGTTTGATAAATATCTTCTCAGAGTTTTATCTTCCCTGTTTCAACTATTGAAATGTGAAACACCTGTGAGTTCTTAACGCTCCAAGAGCAGCTGCTTGAGTTCAGGAGGTTCCCTGTTTGAAAGAGACTCCATTAGCTGACTCAGGGCAGGGAAAATTTGTTCTTCAAATTTGGAAGAGTTTTCTCTTTTTATTTTATATTACCATTCAGAAGTGGTAACTATTTTATATCTCTGGTGTTTAAGGTATATTTTGCAGAGTTTAATTTTCCTGGGCATTCTTTACTTTCTTCCCCTTCTTAGAGTGACAGAGATAAAGAATTTTAGAAACATTTTTCTCAAAGAATTACCTTTAACATGTATAGTTTAATCAAACATTGCCACACAGGGCCTCACCCACTGTGGAAGCATTTCAGGCAGGCTGCTGTCAGGGCCGTTCGCTGCGTGGGGGCACCCCTGACCAAAAACCATTTCTGAACAAATTTAAAGAAAAAGTAAAGGGAGTTAATTGACAGAATCATTTCCATACCCCTTTCCCCCAGTAATTGAAAAATAGAGAACATTGATAGGCTTACTTTTTTTATTTGGCTTTCTTTCTTTTTCGTGTATATTAACTTTTACAGATGTTTGTTGAAAATATATACAAATTATTTCCTTACCCCAAACTATAGCACCACTTCAAGGTGGGGAGTTTGACATTTCTCTGCTGAGGAGCCCCAGTGTTATACAGGGTATTCTCAGAGTCGCTGCTCCCTGAGGGGCACTAGAGGGGCACGTGGTGTGCGGGGTCAGGGGTCAGTCACCATCCTTTGTCAGAGAGTGAACCCGGAGGCTCCGCGGGCCACGTGGTCTCGGCCACAACCACTCAGCTCTGCTCTTGTAGCACAAACACACCACAGACAATACAGAAATGAATGAAATTGCTGTTCTCCAATAAAACTTTATTACAGAAACAGGTCCATGCCAGATATGGACCAGGGGTTGTAGTTTCCCAACCCCTGAAACAGAGAGACCACTATTCATGGAGAAGTAAGTTTTGAATCTGTACTCTAGTGGCCTAAGAGTTTATATACTTCCAAAAGCTCCTAACCTATCCAAAGAATAGCTTTCTGATTCAGGCAGTCTCTCCCACAGATTCATGAACTTTTCTGACTTAGATTGCTTCCAGGTTTTCTTTCCCAGTGTAGCAGTTCAGACTGGGGCTTATTCTGTCACCTTTTCGGCTGGGTGAGGAGTATCCTTCCTGGAAGCTGAGAAAGGGTTTGCTTTCATTCCATCTGGTCCAGTACAGCCCGAGGAGTCTGCTGAGTGCAGAGTCCTTCCAATGACCTAACTTTGTAATTAAATATATAGAACCACTGAGACAATAATGTATTTTTTTAAAATGGCAAACGTGGTTTTCTTTTTTTAGCCTTTGCGCTTTTTCAGTATTTTGATCATAGGGAAAAACAATTTTTTTAATAATACAAAAGCAAATCAACCACTTTGAATTTTAAAAGATAATGCTCTGTGTGTATGTGTGTGTATATATATCTATATCTCTATGTGTTATTTCCTAAAAGAGGGAAAAGTACTTTTTTGTTCAACTTGTATCAACTCCTGTTTTCTAATTGCTGTGAAATGGCAACTGTTGATAAATTACTGTGACTGTTTTAAAATGTAACGGGGAGGGTATGTTTTGATTTTACCCAGCTTTAATCTGTAAAGTATCACTTAAATATACCCGATAGCAACACGTAAGATATTGCATGGGGGTTACTTTTCTACCATCCATACTCATTTGTGCAACTTTGAACATATGGGGTACTTCTGAATTCCTGGTAATTCCGTTTACATTTTTGAAAATCAGAGAACTCGAACTTACTGACTTTTAAACTTTAATTTTTTTCTATTCTTAAAATTAAGTTAACACCTACAATTTGAAATCTACTGTTGTTCTTTCTCTATGTATGTCCTGTTGAAAATTCCTAAACTTGTTAGTGCCATCAGTGATTTACAAACAGTATTTTGATATTGCAGATGATTTGCTCATTGTATTTGCATAGTTAGAAAGAAAATAGTTTGTAGACAATGATTCTCTCTTTTTCTAATAAAATGAAATAAAAATTCTAAAAGCACTAGAGAATTTAACTAAAGGCTGGTTCCCAAATGCATAGTTGGTATTTTCATTTATATTTAAATTCTACATAGAGAACATCTGTGTAAACCATGGTATTTGGGTTTTCCCAGCAATCATCGTCAAACACACCTATGGTCCTTGAATCTTTTATTATGAGAAGCACCCAGTACTGTAACCTTTTAGGAAGTTTGTCTTTAAGAGGCCCAGGTGGTGCTTCTAATTTATGATTTGAAAACTTGCCTCTTCATAAATTAGTGCTATTTAGTTTGAGAGGAAGCAGGGCAATTGCTGTTAAATTTTGCATCCATTTACCCTGTGCAAAGTTGCTGTCTGATGCCAGCAAAACTGCTGCTCAGGCAGCCTGTGGAGGGGAGCGTGGCCCTGTTTCAGCTGCACCGCCAACTCAGCGCCTCTGGAGTGGAGCTTCCTTTCTGACTTCCTGGAGTGGGAATTCGAGAGACTGAAATGGGTGATCGGTTTGTCAGATTTATCCTATAATTTAAGTTCGTGCAGCGTTGTGACCTTTGCAGTACTATTTATAAAAGGACCCCGATGGTGATGATCTCTTTAGAACGCAGTCCTGGTAAGCCTATGATTTAGACACAGGTGCTGCCTGCCTGCTTTTGTAGACAGCTCCTGTAGCTTTCTATTCAGAGTTATGGGAGCATCTCTAAAGCAGTGTCGAATGTAATTTTGAGAAACATGGATCATATATTTTGATTTTGATTTTATAAGCAGACAGACAGCTAAATAGTGCCTTTCCCCCCTCACAATCCACACTGGAGGATGTTCACTCCCTGCTGTCTCTGCTCCCTCCCCCATTCAGTTGATTCATTTATGCAATACGGTTTCCAACTCCATTTTGTTACATCTGCTGCAGAGATAATCACTCCTTTCCCTTAACATTCTGCCAGCTTTCTGTCGTTGAAGTGTTTCCGTTGATTACCTGATGCAAAAGCTATAAAATAAACACTCAGTGGGAAGGGGAAATGTTTTGGTGTCCTGTTTTAATATTTTCCTTGGTAGCCTTGGTGCTGGCGGGCCTTTTCCGAGTGCACACCGTGCTCAGAGTCATCAGCCGCCCTCTCCGATGTCGTTGCCCCCAGAAAGGTATCTGGAGCATTCCTGACGGTCTTGTATCCAGATGAGCATGCCTGTGCCGCTTTCTGCTTCGTACTTCGCCGTGTTGGTTTCGGATAGAAAATGTACAAGGCATACTGAGGACGTACACTTAATTAGAAGGAAAAAAGGAAGGAAAGGGCTGACAACTTAGAATAGAAAAGAAAATTTGAAAGAAAAAAGCTAACTGATTAACATTTATTGCATAGTTTTAGACCTGTCCGTAATGTTTCTTTGGGAATACACATTTCCAATGATTATGTTTTTTTACCCTTCAAGGGAAAACTCTCAATTACATAGATTTCCAATTCCAGCTACTGGCTCATTGTTTGAAACAAGCAATTGATTGTTTTCACATGATATGATATTGGGTTGAATGAAATAGCAGTTCGGTGATAAATTTTCTAAACAGAGAATTTGGTCTGTAGCCACAGAGGTGGAACGGAGAGCGTGGATTTGAGATCAGATAGACCTATATTTGGCAATGTGACTTTAGTAAATGGAGAGAACAGGATTGTTGTAAATGTCGGTCGTTATAGATGCAAAGTGCTGGCCCAGGTAGACTTCATAACGGAGAGCTCTGTATGCGTGCTGGGAAGCTGGCCCGTCCTTCTGACCCTGCAGAACACTAGTTGTGTCATTTTATAAAAGATATTTTTATACATATTTTTGGATGGCACTGGATTTTACACTCTTACTGACAACCTGTTATCCTAATGCCTCCTGACTTATGTGTCTATAGCTTAGATAATATCCTGGTTCTGTTACCTGCTGCTGTTTCCATCTGCACATTTCCTGTGCGAAATGGGGTGCGGGGTTACTGGTGATTGCTCGGAAGGAGTCTGGATTCTCTTTTTCCAGAAGTGGCAATAATTTAGCAGCGTGGACAACCTGGAGTAAAATGATTTGCATTCTTTTACCAGAAAGGAAACGATCCATACTTGGTAAGAAAAGGGGGCATTTAAAGGTGGCGGGTTCGATTCCTGGTCAGGGCACATACCCAGGTTTCAGGTTCAATCCCAGGTCGGGGCGCATCTGGGAGGCCACTGAGCAATGCTTCTCTCTCTCCGTTCCCCTCTCTCTCAAATCAATAAAACATATCCTCGGGTGAAGATTATAAAA